AGCCCGCGATGACAGCCGGGGCTGGGCGGCCGTGAAGGGCGGCTCGGGCGGGGGCCGCTTCGTATTTGTCCCCCAGCTCTGCCCCGGGGGCCCGGCCCCCCGCGCCCGCAGCCCCCTTGATGAGTCCGGGCGGCGGCAGCGGGCCCATGAAAGACTGCGAGTACAGCCAGATCAGCACGCACAGCTCCTCCTCGCCCATGGAGTCGCCCCACAAAAAGAAGCAGGCGGGTCCCCAGAGGAAATGGGAGGTGTTCCCCGGCAGGAACAAATTCTTTTGCAACGGGCGTATCATGATGGCCCGGCAGACCGGTGTTTTCTACCTGACTGTGGTCCTCATCTTGGTCACCAGCGGACTCTTTTTTGCCTTTGAGTAAGTGACACTAAAGCCACCTGCTCCCCCCCCGCCCACTCACATTTCATTTTCCTAGAAAGAAACCGGCCAGGTTTCAGGGGCCGTTGTTTCGTTTCCCTTTTCCCTCTGCTGTGCCTGGCTCCTGCATGCCAGGCATCAAGGGATGCAGCCCTGTTTCAGTTAGGAGGCGCTCTGGGTAATCGCAGGTGCGTGCCATAAAACATTGCCATCCCAGGTTTTGTGCCCCTGGCTGGAGGGCTGTTTGAAAGCTGGGGTCGGGATGTGCACGAACAGCTGTCGCTCCATCATGTCTGGTTTTTGACCAAGTAGCGAGCGCCGAAGTGCCATCCTTCCCTCAAAAAACTGACCATAGGAAAGGTGCCCTCTCTTTTTCATTGGTTTGTGGCGAGCATTGTGGCTTAACTTTTGTGAAAGAGGGTTGCAGGCAGGTGTTGGGATGCCTCTGCTCTCCGTATGAAAGACGCAAGGAGGGCGTCTTCCCGTCACTGAAAGACGGGTGGCTCCACAACTGTGGCTGTAGAGTAGCATTTAATCCGCGTGCAGCTGGGTCGCATCGTCTGGTGCTGACTAAATGCACCGTATCATGGAGAACTTAAATCACAATCTATTGTTTTGAAAAGAAGTTTCTCTATGCCATTTTTTCTGCTAGTCTTTAGGGTCTTATTCTCTATTGTCCTGAATCTAGCGCTGTTGTCTTTCCATTCTTGAAAAGTCAGTGCACACGCCGTCTGGAACGGTGAAGCTGACTGCAGAAGGTGAAAGATGAAGAGGAATTGAGCACCCAGGCCTACTTTGTTCACTTTTTTCAGTACAAATTTGATCATTAGGACTCAATCAGTTTTTTTAACTGGAAAAACAAGCAGTTGAACCTCTTAGTGTGTTTGCAACTGTCTAAGGATGTTTATGTTGATATACGTGATTCTCATAATTTTTTTTGTGGATCACGTATTCCAGTATAAGAACCTCTTTAGGAGGAGTTATCACCAGTATGTAGGAAGATGCCATATTGCTTTCACTGTGGTGGTGTCAAACTGACAGTTTATAAATGAAGAAATGGCATAGAGATCAGTCCTTTCTACGAAACTTTCTCCCATAGCAGCTGTCTGGTCTTCAAATTCTGTAGGAAACATTAAATCATATGTAAGTTTAGCTGTTGCTTCTAAAAATGCTATTCTATAGTTGCAAAATAGACAAGTCAAGCAGTGCATGTTATTTTACTGCCTCAAGACAACTTGGTAGTAGCTTTTAATTGTTTCTAAATTGAATCGGGTATGTGCAGAAATCCTAACTTACTGGTGGCAGTTAAGATGAAATCAAGGTAACCAGACTATATCTGAGCTTGACTAAAAGGATTTTTTGCGGGTTGTTTTTTATGCTTTTTTCCATCTCTTTCAGTTAATTAAAGGTGACTTCTCCCCCCTTGCTGTCACTGCCCCCCAGTTGCCCCGCAGGTTTGTTCACTATGTCTTACTACAGATGTGAAACTTTTTTTGAACCTTTTGTAACTGAGCTAACACAATGAATTATGATTGTCTATCAGCAGTATGTCATCACGTTTCCTCTTCTAGTTCTAAGCAGGAATTTATACATTTTGAACATACATAAAAGAAAGTTGGTACTGCTCTGTTGTTGGCTCTGGTTAGTTCCACATTCTGTATCCTACTTCTTGGACCTCTGTGCAGCTTTGACTTCAATAGTTCTGTATTAGGTGCATATTGGCTTTTTGACAAAGAGCAAATTGCTTTCCATAAACTACTCCTTAATTGATTTTAAATGCATCTTTAAATGATGGCTTCACAAGGGAAACATGTTTTAATAAATAACATTTTTGTTTGGTTGCATGAATTAGAACAGTTGAGGCTAACTGTTTATTGCTATCCTGGTCTTTCATTATTCGTGTTCTGGTGATTAGTTTTTCTCCGGGACCCATCAAGTAATGTAAGCTGAATTGCATGTTTGAGCCTCAGTGATGTTTTACAGTAGGCAAGGTATACTGAAGATTTAAGTCTAAAACTAAGTTGCATCCATTTTAAATAACCAGCTGCATGTTATTGGGGCTTTGAAACTAGGAAAAAGGTTTGACTTATGCATGCAAGTATTTATTGTGCAGGTGCATATTGTGCAAATAGCTGTGTAATATAGGATACTGTGCGAGTCATTCTTGCATGACATTCACTGTCTTTTCCCTTGAAACACACACAAAGCTTGATAAACTGTGAACAAATTCTAATTAAATGAACTTAAACTTTTTGCTCTCAAGGGGAGGGAGAGTTGCACAATGTTCTTCCTAACAAGTTGTTACAATTGTGTGGTAGATTATGTTCTTGTTCAGGAAAATGATTGTAGTCAAATTTAGTCACGAATCTGAAGCATTATTTATTACTTGTTTACATTTAGCACAACTTAGACGCTTGTAAGAATGATAACATTTAAAAAGTGATTCTTTGTTTTAAAAGGGTTGTTTTGGGGACAGTTTCTAAATTGAAGGTCATGTTTCTTGCCTGACATCTGTGCAAATAATTATCCTTTCCTTTTAAGAAATAATTGTTGCTCTCATGTGACCAGTAAGCAGCGACTGTGAAGAACAGAAATTAAAAATCTTCATCTTCACTTTGATAAAGACACTGATTCTTTTATAGAGGGGGAGAAAAGGGTTACTGTCTGCAGAAGAGAGATTTAGAAATTGGTATTATATCATCCTCTGTGTGCCTATTAAATCTCAATGAGCTTTAGGTATTTCACACAGTTTGGTATACGGATGCAGCTAAACTGAAAGTTTTAGAAGCAATTAAAAGACAGCAAAATGTTACTTACCATTTTAGTAATTATGTGGTCTTGGTATTGCATTGTCTTTTTCTACAGGTGGAATGAACTTAAATTTGCTCAGAGAAACAGACTTTGTTTCAAGGAATTCAGCTGCCTATCCCAATTAAAGAGGATGTAGGGAAGAGGTAGTTTAGTAGCATATTCCTGGAAGCCCATATTGCTTCACTGTGGGCACTTGTCCATTATCCTTTCAATGTTATCTATTCCTCTTCGCTTGTTATAGTAGCAGGCATCTTTCTTTTTCCCATGATATTCCTTTAACTTGGAACAGACTGTTCTTCATAGTTGTTCTGTAAATCCTTCTGCTGAAGATCTGTGACTCCCAAATAGCTAAAACAGGGATGTCCAATTCATCCCAGGCCAGATCCACAGGCAGGTGGGGTTGGGGCCAAGTGTTTTAACTTAAAAAGACAAGGTTCCTTGGGTAAATCTGATATCTTTTATTAGACCAACTCAAATAGTTGGAAAAGTTCTTTTTTGCAACCTTTCAGGTACAAATACCCTTCCTCAGGCTAAGGAAGCATCTACACCTGGTGTGTGCGCCTCCTGGATGGACTGAATAGTAAAGAAGCCAGAGTCTGATATGCATGCAAGAAAAGTAGTTGGTGAAAATGTAAAGTGAGGAGTCAGTGGGTGAGAGACAGGGTGGGGGGTAGGGAATGAATGTAGGTGGTAAATAGTGCAGAGGTACTGGGTGAGTTGGATGTTAGGCAGGCTATAATTTGTCATAAATCTAATATTTATATTTAGTCCATGATGCTTTGTATCAAGTACGTTGATGAAGTGAAGTTCATAGGCTTGTCTCTGAAGGGTGTTTTGTAAGTTCCCTTTGAGGATTAGAAATGAGAGACTGGAGAGAGAGTGGTTTTCTTAAGAACTATTTATTTTTGTGGACAGAAAGGTCAAACTGTAGGGGACAGTAGTAGTATTGACAGTATGACAGAGAAAAGTGAACAGGATGAAAGGGATATAAGCAGAAGGTAAAGGGGATGAAGGGGAAATGGGGGTTATTGATTAAAACAAACCAACCAACCTCTCTCTACCCCCATGAAAATTATCTGACTTGAATTCCTTTGGAAGGAAAGTAGCAAACCAAAACAAACATGTAGTTTTATTGTTGGACCAACAGGGTTCTTTGGGTAGATGTGATATCTTTTATTAGACCAACTGAACAGTTGAAAAAATTGTTCTTTACAAGCTTACAGGCATAAACACCCTTCTTCAGGCCTAGTGTCAGCTTGTGTTTTTGTACTCTCTTGGGTTCAATAGTAGAAGCTTAAGCCAATATGCGAAATGCAGGTCTGTGAAAATGCAAGTATGTGGCAGAGGAGATGGTAGTTAATGGGGAGGAGGGAGAGGGGAATGTTGATGGGTTATGCAGTATAGCTGGTAAAATGTGCAGAGGTTAGCTGGGGTTATCAGATGGCAGGCAGGTTATAATGTGCCATAAATCCAATGACTATATTTAGTCTGTGATTTCTTTATAACCAATGGATTTATGAAGTGAAGTTTGGAGGCTCATTTACAAAAGATGTATTGTTGTGGTTTTTGTTGTTGTAATTCTTGTCCTTATAATTTTGTTCTTATCGTTGTGTTGGGACCTTGTGTGCAGCTGTGCCACCTCCATTATGGAAGCTGTTCTGCACAGGCAAATCTTTGTGTTCATGTGGAACCTTGCTGGTTTCTGTGGAGGTCCATACAGGTGAAAGGATGACTGCATGCAGCAGTTCTTATGATAGGAGGCCTAGACTGCCAGCCAGTAACATAAGGATGGGTGGGCAAGTGGGGCACAAACTCTGGGTGGTAAGGAGGGTGTATGCCAGAATGGAACTGTGGACATCCCCACTCCCCAAAAAAACCTTTCCTGCAGTAGCCCTGCTGTTCTTCCCTCCTGTTGCCTGAGCCACGTGATTCATGACATGCATAACGTAGAAGCAGTGGCCAGAGGGTTGCTGCTGTGGGGTAGGGATGTTACCTTTGGTCTTCGCTGAAAATTGGTCTTTAAAAGGCTGCATGATGTGTGTGGGGCAAAAAATAAAAGGGGTGGGGAAATGACATTTCTTTCTCCCCCACCTTGAAAACAACAAACCTCCAGAGGTGCTGCCCTTGTACCATTCACTACTGTCGCTAAGGTCACAGCATTGGTCAGTTAAGGCCCTTGTGCCTTTTGA